GGGGGTACCATATATATATACATATTGGTTGGGGGGGGTTACCATATGTATATATATATATAGGTTATATAGGGTGATATTGGGGCATATATGAGTATATAGGGTCATATTATGTTTTTGCTGTCGCCGTGCGCACGAGTGCTGAGCGTGCATTGGCGCCTGCCTGTATATGGGGTTCTGTAGGCATATTCAAAATAAGTTTTGGCCGTAGAATTGTTGGAGCACCTCAAGACTCTAGGGATTCAAGACTTAGAGAGCTTAAGGATGAGGGTTTAGGGCCAATTTAGGGGATCGAATCGCAGACCAAATATGGAAACTACGACCCGAACAAACTCAAGCAATCCCTTAAGTGCACGTCGATCCCATTCTCTCTCTCCGCATGCTTCACAAGGTGTTCGGTCTAGACCTCTTCCACAATACATAAGACGTGCCCCCGAGAGCATGCGGTGTGATATGATAGTACACCTTGAGTTCCCTGAGAAGGCACAACCTGAATGCCGGGAGCTTGCCTCCTTGGCGTCCGTGTTCAAGGCCTGATCCATTAGCACACCGTGAGGCGCAGGAAGCAGGGCAGAATCGGGTTGGCAAGGTGAAGTCCCTGCATCGAAGGTCCTCATGTGCTGCGTGCATTAGGAATCCTCAACTTTGAGAGAAGCCAAAACTGGATCACGTTGGTTTTTCCTATGGGTGCTGACACTGATGATAATTGTTATAGTAATAATAATAACCATATGAATACTTATAGAAGCGAAATATACATATATGAATATTCATATATATATATATATGTATGCTACCCCCCAGGAACCCACCTTTGCATGTAAAACACATTGACAGGATGCCACAAACAAATGTGATTTGACTACGCCTGGGAGGGGGAAGCTTTACATAAGCGTATACATCTAGATATGTATTACATATAGTCATAGCAATAATCTCGTAGTGCAGAATTTGTACGGATCACCAGAACTGAGAGAAATAGAAGGAAGACGACAACTGTGTTTATGGGTGGTACAGAAGTTCCTTCCTAAACCCTAAACCCTAAACCCTAAACCCTAAACCCTATTCCTTGCACTGCCGCAGCCTCAAAGCGAAGGACGAACAAGCGCTGCTCCTGCTTCAGCAGCCATTCCTTGGCCTGAGCAGCTTGCTGGCTATATGGGGATAATGGAAAAGAAAATCAAAACTACTGCTTAGGGTTTAGGGTTTAGGTTTTAGGGCTTAGGGAAAATAAAATGGAAACTACTATAATGCTTATGGGGGTTCTACAGTAATGATGGAAAAGAAAATGGAAACCGTTATAGTCCCCCTTAAGTAGATAGAATATGGGGTATATGGGGATCTTGCTATGAGTTCGGGAAATCCATATTCTGTCTACTTAAGGGGGACTATAAGTAGAGAATCAAGCAACAGAAGGACATAAGGGCCATAGGGATCCATTCCTCCTGTGCCTATGGACAACCAGTAAGCTGTGCAGGGCCCCAATTTCCAGGTTAAAACCCTAGACCAAATCCCTGAACCCTACTGCAATCCCTAAACTTTCATGCCTAAACCTTGAATTTCAAAACCCTGGATCCCTAAACCCTGAATCCCTACACCCTGAATCTCTAAGCCCCAAAACCCTGTGAGGCCTGGCCTCGTTCGTTTTGCAGAAGGCTAGGCGCAAAGCGAAGTGAGAAATGGAGTCCCTGCCTGGCTTTAGGGTTTAGGGTTTAGGGTTTAGGGTTTAGGGTTTAGGGTTTAGGGTTTAGGGTGTTGGGGTTCAGGCTTAGGGAGTAGGGGGGATGGTGTTTAGGGCTTAGGGTTTCAGGTTTTGGGTCTAATCCCATATGTATCTACCCCAACATCATATGAGCTAGTCTAAACTCCTAGTATCCCTCGAACAAGCTCTATAATGCTCCCCTATATTATACCCTATATTGCCTGCTATAAGGACTGTAGACTATAGTACATATAGTAGTTTCGATGTTCCCATTAAATATCCCCCACACAACAGTTAGGACTCCTTCAGAAGATCCTGTCTCCACAGAAGCTTGCTGGTGGATTGCAAGGAGTGCAGGAATGGATGCTCACACCTTTTCCCAAACCCTACACTCCCGGACCTAACATGGAAACCCAAAAAGGAGCCTACAAAGACTACAGCCCTTCTAAAAGGGGACTATATGGGTTTCCATGTTAGTTTGGGAGAGCGTAAAGCCTAAAACCCTGAACCGCGAAGAATTGCCTGAAAAAGTCTCTCTCATCCCTTGCCTTCCTGCCCAACCCCAAAAAAAGATTTACAAAAAGAGGGGCCCCCAACTCTAGAAACCAAAATTGCTTGACACTGGTTATATGGAACCTCAACAAAGGACCCCTGCATTTTCGAAACATCCAAATGTAGACGATCTTGTTACGAGGCATATAACCTCTATATTCCCCCTTACATAATACAGTAGTTTCCATTTCTTTTTCCACTATCCCTAGATAACCCCAATATAGACTGAGTGCTGCACTCTGAAACTCAGCCTTCTCAATCAGGAATCCTTGCACCCGGTCAGGCTTCGGATAGCCTCCCAGTCCAGATTCTCAGGCAAAGGCCTTTACCAGCTGCATCTAGGGTCTACGGACCTGAATATTTGACATCTTTTCAAAATGGTGGTGGCCATTAAATGGAAACGGTCACTAGGCAAATGACAGGTAATGACGTACAAACGAAAAGGTGCAGCCATACTCAGAGGCATGCTTCGACCACTGCAGCGGCCTAAACTCAGGCCGCAATCGCGCAGATCACGCGCCAGCTGCGGCCTGAAACAGTCCAGGTACGCGGTTTAGGGTTTAGGGTTTAGGGCTTAGGGTTTAGGGCTTAGGGTTTAGGGTAAGTTGTCGAAATTCTGGTCCCTTTTGGGATACACTGAAATTTGTGGGGCTGTACTAAAGTAGGAACCCAAAAAGGACCACACATTTGACCAACCCTTCATATACCATGTACTCATATACTGTATACTTGGGGCCCACAGGAACTCCTCAATCACTTTGATGCCCAAGTGCATGCTAGAGCCCTGAACTGGGCTTCCAGAGTTTCATGGGGTATGACACCAGTGTAGTGGGCGCCAGCATTAAGGGGCCCATAGTTCCAACCTTTTAAATCATCAGGTGGGTCGAGCTCAAAGCTTAGGTAGGCACTGTAACTCGCCCATGTTCTCCAGCCGAAACTCACCACCTGATTGTCATTTAGATCCAAACAGAAAGACACAAGGGATATCAGGGGATTACAGAGGGATGATGGGGTCCATACCAAGTCCCATGAAGATTAGACAGACTCTTTCAGACCAATCTTGGGTGTTTAGGGTTTAGGGCTTCGGGTTTGCGGGTTGGCAGTTTGCCCGCAGATTCCCAGTATTCGGGACAGCGCAGATTGGCATCTCAAAATGACAGATCCCCTACCCTAAGCCCTAAACCCTAAACACTAGCCTGAAAGGGTTCCGCTCTTCCTCTCTTCAGGTTTCATGAGGCGCTGGGGCGCTGATCATCTTAGGAGGCTTCATGGTCAATTCGGGGGTGCTCTTGAAGTGCTACTAAGCTTCCGGAAAGGGTTATATGGGGATAATGGAAAATGGAAACTACTGCAATTTCATAGGGGTTATACTGGGGTTATGTTAGGATACCCATCAACGCACCCATGTTCTTGCAGCTGGTGGTGGTAATTGTGGTTAATAAGGAATGAAGCACTAGGATGTAGGGACAAGTATAGACGCTTAAATGGGAACTGCCATAGGGATCCCTGTAGGGATCCATTCATCCATTCCCTTTGAGTAGTGTTTTTTGGTGGTTGAACCTAGTAAGATTATATTCCTTATATGAAACACTATACCCCAAAAGGAGGATATAATCTTGCTCTATATCGGGTACCATAGTACCCCAAAATAAAATACTACTCCTTTGTAGGCCCGGCGCTGCCACTCACACGGCGGCAGAACTTGTCGATGGTGTGGAGGAGCTTGAGGCGATTCACAGTGAAGTCCTACAAAACTCAAAGGTTTAGGGTTTGGGG